GACATCACGAAAGATGAATTCCAACAGAGCACAGATGATACCACTGCCAATTATCACAGAACCATTTAGTGTTATTGGAATGGACATAGTAGGTCCATTAGAGAGATCAAAGAGAGGGAACAAATACATATTAGTAACAACAGATTATGGAACAAAATACCCTGAAGCGGTGCCCATGAAAGTTACTGATTCCAAGAAGGTAGCGGAAGAGTTAATTGTGCAGTTTAGTAGAGTAGGAGTCCCAAAAGAAATTTTATCTGACCAAGGCACAAATTTTCTGTCAAATCTAATGCAGGAGGTGTACAACATGATAGGAATAAAAGGAATAAAAACAACTCCATACCATCAGCAGACAAATGGACAGACTGAGAGATATAATGGAGTTTTAGTTAAAATGATCAAAAAGCTGACAGCAGATAAACCAGAGAATTGGGATGTATATTTGCCATATTTACTGTTTGCCTATCGTGAAGTTCCACATGAGACAACTGGATTTTCTCCGTTTGAACTGCTATATGGAAGAGCAGTAAGGGGACCGATAGATATACTAGCTGAGAAATGGGAACCAAACACAGAAGCAAACACAAATGTTATCGAGTATGTGACTCAGATGAGAGACAGAGTAATGGATACTAGAGAGATTGTGAAGAAGAATGTCGCAGAAGCAAAACACACGCAGAAAAGGTATTACGATGAGAAATCACGAGACATAGAGTTTCATCCAGGAAATAACGTATTACTGTTATTGCCTTCAAGTAATATGAAGCTGCAAGCAAGATGGCAAGGACCATTTAAGATTGTGAAAAGGTGTAACAAAGTGAATTATGATGTTCAAATTGGAAACAAGGTAAAAACGTACCATGTGAACCTGTTGAAACGGTACACAAGTCCAGATGACTTCTGTTGCTTCACTACAGAAACTATTCAAGAGGAGATACAAGAAGAGGATGATGACGAGGATTTTATGCCAATACAATGGCCAACAACAGTACAAGAGAATGAAGAAGTTAAATACAATATTTCACCTAACATATCAAGAGAGCAGAAGAGACGAGTTGAAACATTACTTCAAGAATACCAAGATGTATTGTCAGATGAGCCTGGGCTAACAGACATAATTGTGCACCATATCAACACTAAAGATTCAAAACCAGTCAGACAAAAGCTTAGAAGGTTTCCAAAAGCATATGTTGAGCTAATGAAAGAGAAAGTAAACAAAATGGTTTCCAAAGGTATAATGGAGCCATCTGTAAGTGAATGGGGAGCCAACTTTGTCTTTGTACCGAAGAAGAATGGTGAGCTACGAGACTGTGTCGATTTTAGAGACCTGAATAAGGTAACAGAGTTTGACGCCTACCCAATGCCACGGATAGATGAAATTCTAGATGGGCTAGCAACAGCTGTATTCATTACAGTCATTGATTTATGCCGAGGATTTTGGCAAATTCCTCTGAGTGAAGATTCCAAAGAGAAGACATCAGTTTTAACTCCTTTCGGAACATTTCAGTTTAAACGAATGCCATTTGGATTACATGGAGCACCAGCAACATTCCAGAGAGCAATGGACAAGATGTTAGAAGGAGCAGAAACCTTTTCTGATGCTTATTTCGATGATCTTGTGATCTTCAGTAGCAGCTTTGAAGCACACCTTTGTGACATCAGACTTATACTAGAAAGGTTAAGAAAACACAATTTAACTGCAAAACCATCTAAATGTAAATTTGCCTATCAGGAAGCAGAATATCTAGGACACAGAGTTGGAGGTGGTATAGTCAGACCAAGCTCAGAGAAGACAGAGTTAATTCAGAGATTTGAGAAACCACACACTAAGAAGAACCTGAGAACATTCTTAGGAATGACGGGATACTTTCGGAAATTCATTCCAAAGTATGCTGACATAGCCTTTCCACTGACAGAGTTAACAAAGAAATCTGTAGCAGTGAAAATACCATGGGGAAATAAAGAACAAACTGCAGTAGAGACGTTGAAGGAGGCTTTGTGTTCTGAACCAATCCTTAAGAGCCCAGACTTCACGAAACAGTTTCTTGTGATCACAGATGCATCTGATATAGGAATCTCTGGAGTATTGAGCCAGAATTTCAAGGATGGTGAACATCCAATCATGTATCTTAGTCGCAAGTTACTTCCAAGGGAGAAAAACTATGCAGTGATAGAGAAAGAATGTCTGGCGATTGTATGGGCCATCAATTACTTGAGATATTATCTACTAGGAAGAAAATTTGTTGTAGTTACTGATCACAATCCACTAAAATGGCTGAATGAAATGCACAACAATAACCAGAGGCTTACAAGATGGATACTTAACTTACAGCAGTATGATTTCAAAGTAGTGCACAGATCTGGCAAACTTAATGGTTGTGCAGATGCTTTATCCAGACTGTAAGAGTATACAGAGAAATAACATAAAAACTTAAGTGACAGAGACACTGTTGATATAGAGAAAAGGGTAGTTTTTACATAAAATAAAAAAGAAAAAAAAAACTTTAAACTTAGAGAAGACATCTAATGAATTTTATGATCTGCAAGTCGCAGATGATTTTAATCTAAAGCTGGCTGAGTATCGCCATCTCGAAAAAGGGGGGAGATGTGATGTAAACAGAGTAATTATAAGAAGTAAGTGTAGATATTGAGCCAATTTACAAGTAAGTGTGAAAAAGTAAGATTAATTAGTAGAGTAAAAGTTACAGGCAGTTAGTTGAAGTTCAGTTGACCTCAGAGATAGAGTTAGAGGGAGAGGGTATAATGAGAACCTGAGCTGAGAAGAGAAATGAAGCAATTGATAAACATAATTAGAAGCCCAGAAACCTTAAATAAGAAGTTATAGTCAAGAACAAATAATACAAGAAGCAAGCTGTAGAAATATTAGATCAGCATCAACAGGTCGTAGATTCGTTACGGGGCGCCCCCTAGAAGATAACATCAGGACATCCTGTATTCGAAGGTAAAATGAACAGCTTCTTTGGCAAGCATACTTAAAGACGATAAATACACCGAACTTATCAAAAGTGAAATAAATAAAGTCAGGACTGAAGAGCTGGAGTTAAATCCCAATCAGCTATGGGAACTGACTAAATTCAAAATAAGAATAAAAACAATGGAATATACGACAACAATGAACAGGAACAGAAATAAGAGAATAAAAGAACTCATCAGAAACATACAGAATATAGAAACACGAGTATTAACAGCAAATGATGATACAAAACAACAATTAATCCAAGAAAGTGAACAACTTAGGGAAGAACTGGATGAATTAAATGAAAGGAGAGCAAAAGGGATAATCATAAGATCAAAAGCAAGGTGGATAGAACATGGTGAAAAACAAACAAACTACTTCTTGAAGCTAGAAAAGAGAAATTTTGACAACCGTACTATTACTCAACTAAGAAATAATAAAGGAGAAATAGTAAAGGAGCAGAAAGACATCGCACGCGAACAGCAGCGCTTCTACCAACAACTATATACAACAAAATGTCACAACATCGATAATCATAAGGACATCTTCTTCCCAAGAGAGGCAACTATTACAACATTAACAGAAGGGGAAAAACAGTCATGCGAAGGCAAAATAACAGAGGAAGAGGTTTTGGAACAGATTAAAGCTTTAAAAAATAATAAATCCCCAGGATCAGATGGCTTCACAAGTGAATTTTATAAACACTTCAAAAATGTGATTGTAAATCTCATAAAAGAAAGCTTTAACTTTTCTTTTCAAAACGGCGAAATGTCAACAGAACAAAGACGTGCTGTCATATCTCTACTTCCAAAGAAAGCTAAAGATATTTTGACTTAAAAAATTGGCGACCAATAAGTCTCCTCAATATTGACTTTAAAATCGCTACAAGAGCTAAAGCAGAAAGTATCAAGATGCACTTAAAGAATATAATCAAGATGGACCAAACAGGTTTTATTAAAGGCCGACACATTGGAGAAAATATACGATTAATCATTGACAGCATGGAACATTTAAATATACATAAAAGATGGGGAATCATTACGCTCATTGACTTTGAAAAAGCTTTTGATACCATACCATTGAATGGGACTTCATACAAAAAACTCTCAGGTACTTTAATTTTGGCCCAGATATATGTAAGTGGGTCCAGACATTCTATAGAAATGCAGTAAGCACCGTAATAAATAATGGTTACACATGCGACTACTTTCACGTCTCAAGAGAAGTACGTCAGGGGTGCCCACTGAGCCCATACCTATTCATATTATGCGCTGAAATATTAACAGAGGCAGTAAGACAAGATATACAAACAGAAGGAATCCGAGCTGATGACACAGAAATAAAAATATCACAATACGCCGATGACACTACACTGTTACTTAGGTCAACAGAATCAGTAAAAAACGCAATAAATTTATTCCAAAAATTTGGAGAAATTTCAGGTTTAAAAATAAACAAAAACAAAACAGATGTCGGTATTATTGGAGATACAGGCTTAGAACCAGAAGGACAACAACAGACAGAACAAACATGTAGAGAACTAAATATTAAATTTACAATGCAGACCTGAATTACCCAAAAGCTAAAAAGAGAATTAAAGACATAATTAAGTCATGGGAAGGAAGATACATTACTCCACTTGGAAAAATTACCTTAGTTAAATCTTTACTTCTTTCTCAAATTACTTACATGGCAACAGTGCTACCAATGCCAAAATAAGACCTTATTCAAGACATAGAGTCAAGCTTCTATAAATTCATATGGAGCAACAAACAAGATAAGATAGCACGACGTACAATGATGGGAAACAGAGAAGAAGGTGGACTGAAATGGTACATCTCAAATCCTACATAGAAAACCTAAAAATCAAATGGATCGCAAAACTCACACAAACAGAACCTAATAATAAATGGGCTTAATTATGGAAAATATATATTGGAAAATTTAATTCAGAACACATTTGGAATTTTAATATAAGAGAATTAGACGGAAAAGTTCAAAATGAGTTACGATTAAACTCTTTGAAAGAGACATTTAAAATATGGTCAAAGGTGAATTTCAAAAATGAGTTAAAGATCGAAAATGCAGCAAACGAGATAATATGGAACAACTCACCCATCATACAGAGACAATGGGGAACTTATGAATTTCAACCAAGTAAAACAAAAATATGATATAACTGGAAATAATTTCTTATACCTACATGGTATAATACAAGGTATTCCACAAGAATGGAAGCGAAATATACAAGTTGAAAATCCACATAATCAAAATCTTTATGAGAGATATTTAGACAGTGGATCACAGAATAGCTTCATGTACCACCAATTTACCAAGTCAGTGAAATGTAAACCAGACAAGACACAGGCGAAATGGATAGAGAAATTGGATAACAACATTGACATTAACTGGAAACAAGTGTACTTATTAACAAAAACAATCACAAACAACGTGAGACTACAGTGCTTCCAATATAAAATGCTGCACAGAGCGCTTTACTTTAATAATCTATTAGTTAAAATGCATAAAAAACAATCCTCGCTGTGTGACATTTGTAAACAAGATAAAGATTCAATTGAACATGCATTCATCTATTGCAACGACACTAAACTTTTATAGCAGTCCTGCTTTAATATATGTGAGGTGAATCCCAACAATAAAGATTTCATTCTCGGCAACAATAGACTACTAAAATCTGAAAACCTACTTTACCTTAAGATGAAATACTACATATATAAAACCAAACTAGCACAAGAAAAAACAGACCTACAAAGATGGAAGAACAGTGTGAAGCAAGATGTACAAATTTCAAAGGAAGGAAAGAGCTACAATGACAGTTGGAGCCTCCTAAAAAGATTCACATGAGTCCCCTTGCATCCCCAACTTAAAAACTATGTTAAAAATGAAAAAGCCTCCTTACCAATGTGACATCTACCTTTATTTTCTTTTTTTTTCCGGCACAGGTTTTTCTACTTTAATATAATATTATGTATATTGTGTATAATGTAAATGAAATAAATGGGCTATAAAAGCCGAAAAAATACATTTAAAAAAAAAAAATTCAAAAATTTAGGCATTTTATATAGCACGACAGAAAATGTCATGATTTCAGCTGATAATATAGAACCAAGATTTGCCAAATGTCAAAATATCCTAAAAATGTGGTCAATGCGTAATTTAACTATGTTAGGCAGAATCACACTGATTAAATCATTAGTCTCATCACAATTCATGTATTTAATGCAAAGTTTTATTTTCAATGATGACATTTTAAGAAGAATGAACACCATGTTTTTTAAATTCATATGGTCAAAAGGCAATTATAAGGAAGAGGATTTAAAATTTGTACCAGAACATGTTAAAAGGGATTTTATGGTACAAGATTACAAAGATGGAGGTCTGAAAATGATTGATATGTATGATATGCAAGTCTCATTTATTCTGAAATGGATTAAACTGATAGTTTTACCAGGTAATGGACATTGGAGATGTCTTCCAAAGTTTTACTATAACAAATATGCAACAGAACTTTATGTATTTAAGTGCAATAGTACAATTAATAATTATACTGGTTTACCTCATTTTTACAAGAAAGTTTTACAAACTTGGGAAAATTATAAAACTGAATCTGACCAATCAATTATTTGGAATAATGAAAAGTTCAAAATAAGTGGAAATAAAATATGTTTTACAAATTGGATCGCAAAAGGTATAAATTTTGTAAGTAATATTGTAACCAATAATAGAGTAATGTCATATGATGAAATATCTAGGATTATTGGTAGGAATCCTTTGACACTAATACAATACATTGGTCTTTCAAATTGTATCAATAGAAATGTAATATTACTTGATGGTTATGTAAAAGCAGATGATGATTTCAAAATATATTTAAATGGTTAAGAGATAACATTTTACGAAACATCAGATTTTAGAAAACTATGTACAGATAAAAGAAAATTGATTTTGCAGTATAATGGTAAGGATATTTCATATGCAACGTGGCTTAGGGCATTCAAGTGCAAAGTAGATGCCAAACTCTTAATAATTCACTGGATAACATTACATAACATATATCCATGTAATGGGATTTTAAATCGTTTTAGAATTAGAGATAGTTCATTTTGTGAGAATTGTAATGTTATTGACAATGTTAGACATCATTTTTATGAGTGTACAAAAATAAGGGATATATGGAAATTTTTTGATAATATCACTTTTGAACAAATTATAGGAATTAATAACTATAAGAATTATAAAGAAGTTTTAATAGCCAGGAGGGCAATACAAATCTTCAATATCGACAAAACTGGAAATATACTTGCTTATTTTGAAAAAGAAAAACTGTACAGAAATTAAACAATGTAATTAGGCCTATGTATAATGTATAATTGTATATATGTTTTATTCTTGAAATATAGTTAAAAAAATCCCATGCTACTAAGAACATGTAGAACCATGGTTAAATTATTAACGGGTGAAGGAAACCTAATGGTTAACTGTAAACGGTGGTCGGGTGGCAGGATATGCTTGGTATGTGGCGAAGCTATTGAGAATTTAGTTCATATGGTACTAGAATGTCCGGGACACAAGGCAAAACGAAAGGATATTGAGAATATTCTTATTCAGATGTACCTTGATACCCCTCTCCCACCGAATGACGTGTTATTACCGATTTTATTTGGCGAAAATAATGTACTGACAGAGGATCAATATATTAAGATAGCTCTGTCAATTTATGGGATGTATGAGGCAAGACCAAATGTCGATTTTTGATTAGTTAACCATAATTTTACAATGAGATTTGGTTTGATAAATGATAGGTTGATAATATCATATTGTAGCTAAAGGGTAATAGGTAAAGTGTAGGTTAACTGACGGCATCAACGCGGTAGCCTGACGTCCGTCAACAGCAAAGATTAGGTGGAGAATTTGTTTTTCTTATTGCATGTAACAGATAGTAGTAACTTGACGGCGTCAACGCGGTAGCCTGACGTCCGTCAACACCAGGGATTGGTTGTACATAAACATTTTATTTGTTTTTTTTATTATTGTATGTAACATAATAATTTCAACCCCTTATGTAATATTTTATATAACACATGTAAACACACTAATTATGGTGGATAAAATAAACATAAATAAATAAAGGGAAAGTTAATTCCCAAAACTAAACAGCTTAGTGTTTACGAAATAAACATACCCTGATTTTAAATTTGATATTTGTCTCAATTTATGTGAGACTCCAATACACTAGCTTTATTTAAATCAAAACAGAATAATTGTTGATTGATTGTAGATTAAAAACTTTAAAGACGAAGGATGGGGAACATCCGCAGCTGCCTCGGAGATGGAGACACCGAAGAGCACTTGATATCTCCGGATGATGATGGAATGGCATTAGACGCCAATGTTACAACAACAACAACAACAGGAGAAACTGAGACACGTAGAGAAATAACAAATGAACCAGATTCAGTCATCGAATCAAGACACAGATGGAAGATTTTAGATTACTGCAATTACCTTATTACATCAACAAAAGCAAATGCTCTACCTGAGAGTAAAGACATGTCCACTGACACAGAAGCCCTATTCGCTAGCAAAGAAACATCAAAAAACACCCCTATTCTACCACAGAAAGTCCATGAATCAACAGACACAGAAGCTCTATTCGAAAGAAAAGAAACATCAACAAACACGCCTGTACTACCACAGAAAGTCCACACATCAACAGACACAGAAGCTCTATTTGAAAGAAAAGAAACATCAACAAACACCCCTGTTCTACCACAGAAAGTCCACACATCAACAGACACAGAGGCTCTATTCGAAAGAAAAGAAACATCAACAAACACCCCTATTCTACCACAGAAAGTCCATGAATCAACAGACACAAAAGCTCTATTCGAGAGGAAAGAAATGTCTACCGACACACACTGTTTGATAAAAATGGAAAATACATCGACAGATACAGAGAATATATTTGATAAAAGAGAGATGGCCACTGACACTGGTGAATTGGTACAAAAATGGACTGAAACAGCTGGTGATTTATATGTAACCTTTCCTATGGGTCAAACACAGGAAGGCAAAGACTGGAAATTTCACATAGAGATCTTGAACAAACTTAAACAAGAAGAAAATGAAATTACGAGCAAACTGAAACAGCTGAAGATTATTCAAAACAACTTTGAAGAAAGAAAATCAGTTTCGAAAAAGCAGAGGGAAGAACAATCGAATGAGCACGTGATGGCATTGCGTCATATTGGTAACATTCACAGGAGAAGAGCTAAACTTACAGCGAGGAAACTAGAGTATGTGAAGTCTATCGCTCTGTATGAATGTGCAGAAGTTCACCTTCAAGAATGTACAGATGATGTTAAAAAACAGGAAATTGAAAAAATAAAACAAGAAAGGAAACTTACTTTGCGAGAATTCTTAAGTGGAAGTACAAAGGCAACATTAGATGACAAAGTTCTACAGTTTGAGAAAGATAATAACACCAACAAAGATACTCTGCGACAAATACGGAAATTCATGAAAACTAAACTTAGAAATTTAAACAGAGAGCATAGTGGATGTCCCATTGATCTGGATGAGACACGCAAAAAAATGGAAAAAGAGTACATAGAACAAGTCAGCGAAATCTTAAAATGGAATCACGGAGAGATTAAAAAGTTCATAGAATCGTTAGTGAACCAGAGTAGAAAAATGTTTGAATTTCACAATGATGACTTTGCTTTTATAGCATTTGGATCCTTCTCGAGAAAGGAAACAACACCATTTTCCGACGTAGAATTCGCAGTTGTCGTAAACACAAATGACTTAAGCATAGTTCCCAAGTATGAAGTACAATTAATGAATATCATTATGTGTGTACACATCAAACTACTTATGCTTGGTGAAACAGTTCTACCTGCTATGCACATTGACTCTCTCAAGGACTGGTATTACGATGACCGAACACATGTGTCCGTGAAGCAAGGGGTGTCCTTTGATGGACTGATGCCACATGCGAATAAAACGCCTTATTTTGAAGATCCTCAAAATGAATTCTCACTCACAGACACTAAGAAAGCATTCATGAGGTACTTCGAGGCCAATAGAAATTTGAGCAAAGTACTTTACTTATATAAGGGAGATTTTGAGATTCTATATGGTGAAGATTCAGTTGCAGATGAGATGAAAGACCTCTTTAAAAAAGATGGGGTGAAACGGAATAAAATCTTGGCCGGAATAATGAAAGAGTTCAAGGACGACTTGATGAAATATTCGTGCACTAAGAAGATCTATGATGCCAAGTTTGACGTACGCCTGCTAGCAGATATAGAACTCAGTGTCAAGAAGGAGCTGTATCGTCTCCCTAGTGTGGTTATCAACAACCTGCTTCATCTACTGGGAAGCAAGACAACCTGTATATGGGATGTAAAAGGAGTGAAAGGCCTGAGCGATGATAACCTACACCACCTTACGATGATCCTAGCATTAGCTACAGAGTTCAGACTCAGGTGTTACGCCGAGAATAATGGCCAAGTGGACGAGGTCAAAGGACAGCTGTTTCCTGACGTATTCGTGAGCGAAAATAAAGAGAAATCGAAACAGTTTATCGAGGATTTGGTATTGCGCTACTACATGACAGCTATTCCCCTAGTTTCTAGTATCGAGCAACAGAGACATGCACGTGCAGAAACGGACGTAACTGAAGAGCAGAAAGGAAAAGCATTGCTCAAAGCAGTAGGAACACAACCGTTGTATGATGCATCGCTTCTTAACCACGCGATGGCATATCTACTAATTAGAAAACGAGAGAAGGCTAAAGAGTACCTCGGTAAAGCCAATGCCGAATATCTCAAACAAGAAAAACCTGTTGATCACAGCAAGCTTATTCTACAGATTCTCTTAAACATGTACATCAATGATGCGTACAAAAGCAAAGAATTCTTGAATCTCGGTCCACGGGTCATTGATAATAGTAATAGTGATGTAGTCATCACTCTTGGAAATGCATTAATACAGCGAGGTGAACCAAACGAAGCAGAGAAAGTTTTGAAAGAGTGTGCAAAAAAATATGGAACTGACGAGTGTTACAAGCTACTGACAATAGCTCTAGTCAATAATCGTAAGGGTGAAGAACTACAGAAGATTCGAACTAAAAAACCGGAACTACAACTAAAAGAAGTAAGTTAAAACAATGCCATAATTACACTAGATACTAAATTTTAAACCCTACATAAATTTAAACTTTGTACATGCAGAATTGTCTTGGGGGATGGTATTTTGACACTGTGCGTCCTCCCGAGAGGAGGGACTTTTGAAATTCATATAAAAAGTAATTTTGACCCAATTTGACCAGCTATTATTGCTTTCAAGGTGGAATGATTAGCTCACAAGCTGTTCAAGCTTTTTAGGGGGTTTTAAATGAGGTTTAGAAATATTGCCTTTTGTTATTCACCGATGGACATGAAAACGAGCCGTTCTTTTACATTCGATATTTCCACTTCTAAAATTATTCACACTCAAAAGTCTTTAATACAGACCAAATTTCCGTGGCATCCTTTATAGCCGGATGACAAATTGAGTTTTTTTCCATAATGCTACCCACCTGGTATAACAAGTCGTGTGTGGTATCATATTGAAGCTAAGAATATGGGCAATACAGAAATGTATGTTGTGAAATTTGGTTCTGCGACCGGAGGTGATTATTTTCACTAATTAATTAGTGAACAATAATATTGAAAAATAATTTCGATTTTCATTGTTAATGGTAAAGTACTTTGAATAACATTTTTAAGTGCTTCATGTTTATAAATTATTACAAATTGATTTGATTTGATTGCAAAACAAAATCAATTTGTTATTTTAACATAAAAACAACTACTTTATAAATTATGATGATAATACTATAGTGTGGTTAAAAAGTGCTTATTATGATCAATAATATGTAAATTAGATACACATGCAGGTTATGTAATACAAGTTGAAAAATGCACTTTTTGTATTATTTTATTTGATACTAAAACTAGTTTATACAAAATGAACAAACAGACAAAAATTCTCATTTAGCATTCAAATAAAAGAGAAGTGCTCACAAGACCTTTTTATGAAAGTTTAAATTGATTAAAGGCTACTAATTAATTGTTTGAACCCTTACAAATATACTAATTAACTAGATATTTTATTTGATTTCGTAAACTGTTTTTATACAAAATGAACAAGACCGTTGGAGATTCTCAATTAGCATTCAAATGAAAGAAGTGCTCTCAGAGCCCTTTTTTCAAAGTTTGAAATAGATAAAGGAAATTAATTAATTGGTGTAACCCTTACAAATATACTAAACAACTTATTTTTAACTCTGTTAATTTATTTTTATAAACAGAACAAGCTTTTTTGAAATATTAATTTAACATTCAAATAAAAGTATAAAAGCACTCACAAAGTAATTTTTATAAAATTTTGACACAAATAATATGAACTAATTAGTGTAACCCACACAAATGAACTTAATAACATCTTTATGGATTTGCTTCAGTATCCGTTGAAGTAGCCATCATAATTTGTTACCTCTATTTTACTGGTCAGTAGTCAATCAGGAGTTTCTAGGGGTAACTCCAGGTAACAAACATAGGTGGATACAAAACCCTTATTATCAAACCCTATGCGAAGGAAACATAATAAGTACAGCCCTTACAAAATTTATCATACAAATTTGTTGTATACACCACTGTAACTCATGTAAAGGTTCACAAAACATCAACACTTGAATCATCTTCATCAGGATCATTCACAATTGCCTTGATGTTGGAACAATCGCCCTGATCATGACAGGCACATATTGGAATGCAAGTAAGTCCTGCAGCCAGAAAGGGGCACTTTCGTGCAACATTACAGTTTGCGTCCTTGCAATAAAGATGTGTAACATCCCTCAATTCAATTGGAGCGGGGTCTTTGGTGATCATTACAGTCATCATTTTCCCATCGACTATTTTCCATCCATTTCCAACTGGGTCCCACAAATCTGGTTTGGCAATATGACTGGAAAGCCAAATCTGAAGTTGAATCCGACAACTTTGTACATGTTGCTTGAATGCATCTTCTGTTGGTGGAAGACTTGATGCCGGTTTATCTGTTGTAGAAGCCAACACAAAACGGAGGTCGTCTAATGTCATAGCTGCATTCATTTTCTTTCCTGTCACACAATACATTGACAGAATGAACTGCCAAGCGAAACTTTGGAATTTAATTTGGTCTTCAAATAACAGAATCTTAAGAGGTTCTGGACAAATCATTTGATTCTGGACTTGTCATATTTTTTTCCAACGAAATCACATCCAAGGGTTGAATTTTTATTAGCTATTTAGAGAGTGAGTCCTGCCTAGTATTAAATTCAATAAAAAAGTTAAAATAGAACCCTATTTGAGAGGCAATCTAATACTTACATTACATTGATAAATTAAGGCAAATCCTGAAATATTTTTTAAGTGCATTTTTTATGAAATATTATCCAAGTATTTAGATGAAACGGTCTTATTTAAATACAAATCATAACATAATGATATTTTTCATGAAACAATTTTTAATGAAATTCAATTGAAGGGTCAAGATAAAACGAGGTAATTAAGGTGAAAACCCTTACATGATGATGTGTTTTCATAACTTCTTTCATAAAATTCCATCAAGAGGTGAAGATAAAAAGATCGAATTTAAGTGATTTATGGATCACGAGAATATGTTTTCTTGGATATTTTCTCTGAAATCCTATCCAATGGTCAAGGTAAAATTTTGATTTGGTATTTTTGGTCACGTGTTCGAAAGATCCTTATAAGGCCCATAGAACCATATAGGAACGTCATTTTGAATGTCACGTGATAGATCCATATATGGGTTTTAGAACCATGTCGGGAAAGATGAGGGGAAGCCCCTGACACCTGTTTCACGATTTTATCCGAACGTTGCTCGGATCATTTCGGTTTTTATGCACTTCATTATTGTACCGAAGTTTGCCGATTAGATTCGTCGTATTTCGGAATCCTGGTGACAATTTTATACTCCGATTGGAGTATTTTTGATTTACTTCTTATGACGAAAATTCCCGAACCTTGTTCGGATTGATCCGGATTTTCTGACCTACTTTATCTACCAAAATTTAATGAGTTAACATTCGTCTCATTTCGTGATCCTGGTGACAATTTTATACTCCATTGGAGTATTTTTGATCTACTTTTTCTGGATTTTGCTCTACTTATTATATCTTGACAACAGGCAAATCAAAAAATTCGACATGAACGGGTCTCGATCGACTAACCTGGAGCGTGTGGAAGCTAGGCACGTAACCCATGAGGCCAACGTGCTACCGATATGAAAGAACAAACGTATTATATATTTATACCGAGCGTCAATTCAAAATGATCTTCACTTTTGACTCCCACTTAAATACAACTCGTCATTTGAATACAGAATAGGTGAACGCCTATTGGCGCTAGTGAATAACCAAGCCCCAGGTGAGTGGTTCGTATCCCTCCGTGATATACTATTTTTGTTTTATTAAGTACGACAGAAAGGAGCAAGGTGTAGGTTGAAAACAAGACGCTAGTTTGTTTCAAAACAGTTTGGAAACATTAACCTTTGATTATTAAAGGTTTTCCACTCCTGAGGGCCTCTAGATCTATGAAATTTATTAATCAAGACAGTGTAAACTTTTTAGATATATGTGATACGTTTTCATATGTGATACGTTTTCATACTTTAGCCTGTGGAATCAACTAAATATTACATTTTGGATTTCATTGATATCCTGTCATAGTCCTAACATGTTTTTTTCTGGAACATTATTTTTTCAACACTGATACAAATTTCCCTGACATGTCTACCGTTTCAAAATTCCCGGACATCTTTGGCCCTTTTGACCTAATTTTAAAATTCCCTGACATTTCCAGCACAAAAATAAATCAATTTACCTGACATTTGCAGGTGTGTACGAACCCTGGAAATATCCCAATGGCTCGCCCTATGAATCGCTATCACAGATTGAATTGATTAGTGTTTCAAAATGGTGGACGAAGTGTTTGATTAGATAATTAACATATTGAGGTTCTTAAAGGGGCAACCAGGCCTGTACACATAGAAAATTCGAAATTTATTACTTTTTCTGAATTTTAAGGGCAACATTTGGCTTAACATCTTCTTTTATACATTTTTTCTTAAAATGTATGGATAAACAATAAAATTTCAGCATTAAGCAATGCAAATTTAGTTCAAAGCTTCTATAATGGGAGTCCAACTTATATATTTTGAAGATCCGACTCGTTTCAAGAAGAATATCGGCAGCTTAAACCACGCCCGGTGATCATACAAAATGGATGGAGTGGGGGAATCGAGTAGACGATTTCTGCAAGAAAACTCAGCAAATTTGGAAGATTTCTTTTTTCAAGATATAGGTGATGGGCTAGCTCTTAAATTGCGGTATGGAGGTAGAATTTTGGAGACCATGCTAGTGTGACATGCACTTTTATAAATACTTTCAAATATTAAATATTGTTGGTACAACTGATTATTCCTACCCAATGTATACTACTTCTCAACACAGCACATACTGAGACTGTACTGATATGCCACCTTTAAAAAGGTTTAGTAACTACTGTATCACATGATCTAGGTCACATGATCATGTACTTTAGTGTTGGGCCTGCTTTTGAATCTTCTGGATGTGGTAAATATTTGTCCATACTTTGTCCAATTTCTAAACAAGTTATATTGTCTCAGTATATTATTCATATAGTTAGTTTTAAAGATTAATATATAATCTCTATGTTGAAATAGGTATTTTTTATATACCGTTTGTAATTTTGAAGTTATTAGGAGTTTAAGGAAAGACTCAAGATATTTTGCAAATTTCAACATCAGCCATATTGGATTTCATTCCTTTGTTTACATTTTCACTTAGGTTCAAATGTACATTTTTAGGTTAGTTCCTAGCTGACTTACTTTACCATATGCCCACACTCATAGTCCAAGTAGCTTTATTGTCAGGTAAAATTCCACTCTTGTTATTTGATTTATATTTGTAGTTTGTGTAAGGTCAATACTACATTTTGTAAGGTCAACTTGACCCTATTGACCATATTGAACAAGTCATGCTTCATGTGTGTTGATGTTTATATAATGCTTCAGGCATTGTGTGG